GTTTCCGAAAGCAGTGTTCTTGGGCCATGATAGTGAAGTGGATTAGTGCATAATTATGTTCAGAATTCTTTAGGTATGTTTGGAGCTATTGGTATGGTGAATTTGGAATACCTCACGTCAACTAACCCCTGATTTGAGCAATTTGGTGTTTATGAATTCTTATATGATATGCTACTAAACTGATTTATGAATTCATATATGATAAACTGATTTAGTTGTTCATGTATTGTTTGGAATCAATGCTTATGCACAGAGGGTATGTCATCTTGTTTGAAATGATAGGGAAAAACAGCGCATGGATTTGACAAGCATATTTTAAATGATTTTTTTATTGGTTTTTTGCAGTACATTTGATAATCTTTTGGTCATGGATTCTCCAAACGAAGAAACATTTTTTGTGAGTCCTAATGTTGAATCCGAATCATCTTCTATTGACCCCTCTACCCAACCAAATGCTCCCCCTCCTAGACCACCCCTAGCCAAAACTAGTAGTAGTAGGAGAACAACATCAAAGGCTTGGGATCATTTTGAAAAGATTAAGGGTATTGATGGGAAAGATAGAGCTATGTGCAAGTATTGTAAGGAAGAATATATGGCACGCTATGGAACAAGTAATTTGTTAAGTCATTTGAAAATTTGTATAGAGTATCCATATAGGGATACTTATGGGCAACAAATATTGGGATTTCAACCTAGAGAAGTTGGTGGGGATGGTGATGTTGATGTTGTGGCTACGTCATTTTCTATAGAAGTTGCTAGGAGGTATCTTGCCGAGATGATAGTAATTGATGAATTGCCCTTTAGATTTGTGGACGGGGTTGGTTTTAAGAGGTTTTGTAATGTCATGCAACCCAAGTTCAAGATCCCATCTCGATATACCGTTGCTAGGGACATTGTAGACATATACACCAATGAAAGGGAGAGGTTGAAGAAAATTGTGAAGGGGCGTAGAATTTGCTTTACAACAGACACATGGACTTCCATACAAAATTTGTGTTATATGTGTCTAACTGCACATTTCATTGATGATGATTGGAAGTTACAAAAGAGGATCATAAATTTTTGTCAAGTTGAAGACCACAAAGGAGAAACTCTTGGTAAAAAAATTGAGGCACTCTTAAAAGAGTGGGACATTGATGGCCTTTTTACATTAACTGTTGATAATGCAAGTTCCAATAATCTAACCATTAGATTCTTGAAACGAACCACAAAATTATGGAAGGGAACTATCTTGGGCCATGAATTTTTACATATGCGTTGTTGTGTGCATATTCTAAATCTCATTGTTAGTGATGGATTGAAGGATCTTGAGTCTTGTATAGCGAATGTGAGGCATGCAGTGAGGTATGTGAGGTCTTCTCCAAACGGCCTTGACACTTTTGAAAAGTATGTGAAAAGTTTAAAAATTGAGAGTAAGAGTCTCTTGTGCCTAGATGTGCCAACACGATGGAATTCCACATATCTTATGTTGGAGGCAGCGGAAAAATTTGAGAGTGCTTTTCAAAGAATGGGTGAGGAGGACTACAATTATAAACACTACTTTTTGGATAATGAAGGGGGTGAGAGGAGAGAGATGCCTACAACCGAGGATTGGGATAATTGTAGGGTGTTTTTGAAATTTCTTAGAATGTTCTACAATGCAACAAAGAGATTTTCTGGGTCTTTATTTGTTACTTCAAACACATTCTACACTGAAATTTTTGTCATTGAAAATATGATTGGGCAATTAATCAAAGACAATGATCCTATTTTGTCTTCAATGGCAAAGAAAATGAAAGAGAAGTTTGACAAGTATTGGGGAAATGGGGATAAAATCAATCTCCTTTTGTATGTTGCAGTTGTGCTTGATCCTCGAAAAAAAATGGCATACTTGGAATTTTGTTTTCCAACAATTTTTGGTGGAGATGTGGTGAAAGTGAAAGAAATGTTAGACAAGGTGAAAAATTGTTTGAGTCAATTGTATGATCATTATGCCACACTTGATTCAACAAATGTGCATGCCTCCAATGTAAATGAAATAGTAGATATGGTGATCGATGAAAATGACCCACATTCTATTGTGAACTCTCAATTTAACTCATTTTTGGAGGAGCAAATTTCTAGTAGTGGGAGTACGTCGGAATTGGACAAGTACTTGGGTGATATTGAGAAAGGTGGGAAAAATACTCAATTTGATATCTTGGAGTGGTGGAAGGTTAATGCAACAAAGTATAGAGTATTATCACTTATAGCACGAGATGTGTTGGCAATGCCTGTTTCCACTGTTGCTTCCGAGTCGGCTTTTAGTACAGGAGGTCGTATACTTGATCCATTCCGTAGTTCACTTGCTCCCAAGATGGTGGAGGTTCTTGTTTGTACACAAAATTGGCTTCGAAATAACATTCCAATATGCCTTCGACAAGCAATGGAGGATGTTGAAGAATTTGAACAACAATATGTTTCGGGTAATATATACAATGATTTATTTATTTTTATCCATTTCATTTATTTTGTATTATTCAAAATGCATTATCTTCACTTCACATGTTTTTGTTGTGTTATGTTTTATGTGTAGTTTCCGAATCAAGTTCATGTTCAAGCCCGAGTCTGGAGAGTCGTTTTATTGAAGTTTAATATCATTGGTAAAATACTTCCCCTTTGTTAAATATTGTTGACATATGTTTACTTCTTTTAAATTTAAGACTTTCTAGTGTTTTCCTTATTAAATAATTTTAATATTTTGTTATGCAGGTTTAGATGGCTCATGGTTTGGCTCAACGAAATGAATGACTTTTTTGTTTCTTTTTAGATGACTGTAATGCTATTGTTTGGATGACTGGAACTTGGATGCACAATGTTTTTCTTATGTTTTATGTGTAACTTAGATGACTTATGCCCACTGGATGCACAATATTTTGGGTGATATTGAATTATGCCTACTGGAACCAATAAAAACCAATTGAATTGCTCAGGTTGTTTAAGAAATGCCCACTGGAACATAAATGTGAATATTGCATTGCATGAGTTGCATTACCCAGGTGGTTCACTTGCATTGCCCAGGTTATGCAGGTTTATTGAACCACTGGATGAACATAGATGTGAATATTGCATTGCCCATATTGTTTTTTTAGGAAGTGCACACTTGAATTATGCCCAGGTTGTTTTTTTTAGGAAGTGCACAATTGAATTATGTTGAAAATTTGTAAACTTTTAAACCACCAAACCGATTCGTATCCATCCACCAATCCGCTCAATCCGCATCCGCCGAATTGGCGGACGGATGCGGATTGATTTTCTCCAATCCGTCAATTTGGCGAACAGATGGCGGATTGGAGGATTCATGACTGCAACAGATCTGCGCCCACCCCTAATATGTGATAATGTGAAATTCACTACACAGATATGGGAGTTCGTTGTCTAATATCTCATGTTCCTAAAAATAATTCTAGTAAGGTTCATAAAATTTGGTCTAAGCCCCATTATTGTATTTTTTTTGTTTTTTTTTGTTAATTCTGAAAGAAAGGTCTTTTGACGGTATACATGTTTAGTTTCCTTTCTTGGTTTATCTTGTCAGTTGAGGAAGCTTACCTCGAACATCTAATTATATCATGTTTCAAGTTCAATTCTTTGTTTCTGTACATTGTTGCTGCAGAAAAGGCAAGTGAGGGCAGTTTGTACAAAAACTGACCATGACAATTGGCGTGCCTCTACTTTGGGGAGTTCCTCCTGCTTCTGAAACACTCGACCTTGTCATTCGTAGTGAAGGTCTATTGGCAATGGGACTTTTTAAGTTACTCAGATGTTCCAACCATTAATTTGTGCATTTTGCACATAAAATTGTTTTTCTCATGGTGTATAAAACCAAAATATGTGTAATTGTATCCATCAAAATGCTTGACGTTAATATTCAACCCATCATTCTTCATTGTTCCTTCCACTGGTGATCCCAAAATGTTACTTCTAAGGTTTATTGTGAGGTTTGAAATGAATTATATTATATACTTAAATTTGTTTTTTGTAACCCCATTTTTGACAACTCATGAATGGTAATGGAATGATGAGTTACATGTTCATCTTCATAGATTTTGTGTACTAATTGATAGACTGAAATTTATCCTTAATGTGGTGCAGGAAACATTTTAAATGACATTTTTCTATATGTTAATTATGAGCACATAATATATTTTATTTTTATCAAAATATAATAAAAATGAATATTATATGTGAATGTCCTACTCTCTCACAAGTGATGAAATGAATTGCAAATGCATTATTTAATTAAAAGAATTCTTGAACTTGTCTGTTTTAGGACTTAGCAACTCTCATTTCTCATATCCTTAAAAGTATGTTAGAGATATAATTGTATTTTGAATCTAAAAATAAAGGCAATATGTAACTTGAAACATTTTACAAAATATTGAAATGAGATTGTTTTTGTATGTAATGTGAAGAAAAGAGAAAAAGCAAAAAAAGAAGAGAAAATGTAGCTTATATTATATACACTTATCTCTCTCTCTCTCTCTCTCTCTCTCTCTCTCTAAATTCAAAATGATAACTCCACCTAGCAGATAATGCATTTTGACTTATATTCCATGATTTATTGACAGATTGGATTGACAGAGCTCTTTTATATTCTTTTTTATGGTTACTATCTGCTTTAAAATGTTGTGCATTGAAGCTTGGGTTGAACCATTAGTCCATCAGTGGAACAATAGGCCCTTAGGGAGTAGGGTATATCTAATATACTACTTTGACTTTAATGGCCATTGCCAGCCACCTATATGTTAAATTAGGCCACCTTACCGCAACCCAATGATAAATGTTCCAAGGGATGAGCAAAATGTCAAAAACATTTTTTTCCCCCTTCCCCGCAAAGGATAAGAACTTCATTCCATAAAAAAAAAATGATTAAGAGCAAGTAGTTCTTCTTAAAACTTATACAAAACTCTTTTATGGACATGTGTCGCATAGCTGAATAAATATTGAGTATATGTATCGCATAGCTGAATAAATATTGAGTATACAAATGAACACTACAATATTATTGATCAATAAGACATCACGAATAAGATTAATTAATTCCCCTTTCAAGGAATATACCATGTTCCTAACCAATCAAACAAAAGATGTTTAAGTGGTCAATGCATTGAGAGAAACTATAAATAATTCATTTTGTCCTTAACAAAACCATAAATTGAAAGCGGAGATGATGATGATGAAAGTGGAGAGGATGGTGATGATGTTGAAACGTGATGAAGAAGTGAAATGAATGGGTAGCTTGTGGGTTGGTGATGATGAACTCTTCGTTAATTGTGAGAGAAAGAAGGGGCAATCCCAATTCCAATCTTCATGAGTTTCTTCTTGAACTTGGTGTTCCAGTAATTCTTGATATCATTCAGTAGTTCCTGGTAATTGAGTTGCTACTATTGACCACCTGCAAAGGGAACAAAACAAACAAGTTCTATAACATGAAGATAATAAAGTGAGTGCATTCATGAGAGATCCAAATTAACTTGGCATGCATGCATAGTGGATTCTTTTTATTAGAATTATTGGAGGTATTCCATCCAAAATCAATTTGCAATATTGCTCATCTCTCTCCCTCTCTCTCACTTCTACACGTGATTGGGTCACATGTATAGGAGCATTGGAGACTTGTCTTCCTTCATTTCTTTATGTCATCCAAGTACAATTCATATAATCTAGAAGCCCCTCCATCTATTTTCAATTGATTTTGGGTTGGTGACTAATAATCTAACACTTTTTTGATAAATAAGAACTTCTTTCAACATACTATATTAAGGAAAACTCTATCCATACAAAAAAAAAAAAATATCATAAGAATGTTGTGCCAGAAACAATTTTATAAATAAAAACTCTCACCACGTTGACAAGATAATAGGGGACTTGAAAAAAAAAATGAAGACATGGGCATGCATAGGTTGTTTTGAATGAAATTAGTTGACGCAAAGTCAATAGGATAGAGATTGGTAAAAAATTTACAGGGTATAAGTATAATTTGTGTGGGATGCAAGTGTTAAATCACCAAATAACTTGGTGTTGTCCACTTCCTAGGTACGCATAGACCATGGCAATTAAAATAATAGAAGAAACACCATGGCAATTGTAGTGAAATGAAAACATAAACTCCGTAGTCAATTGGATAGAAATTGAACAGAAATTGTTTCATGATGGGATTCAAGTGTAATTTGTGAAGGCTGCACATCCATGAATTTGGCAAGTAATAGGTATGCGAACACTATGACCACTAACGTGCACATATAAAACAACCAATTTTTTTATTAAAAAAAAAAATCCTCATACTGAGTGATGTATGAGGAATGAAATACACAAGTACAATACTAACATAATAATAGGAGACATAAAAAAAATAAAAACATAGGCAGGCACAGATTGTTTTCAATGAAATTAGTTGATGGAAAATGAATGGGATAGAGATTGGTAAAAATTTCATGGGGTGTAGGTGTAATCTGTGTGTGGGATGCAAGTGTAATCCGTGTAGGGCGCAAGTGTTAGAACACTAATAATTTGGCATTGTTCACTTCCTAGACCATGACAAACAAATAAAATCTACAAAAAAAAATATATTATTGTGATTATTCGAGGCTAAAATCTTCTTTTTTTTTTTCCTACATTTAGAAACATTCCACCCATAGAAGCAAAAGAAATGTTCACATACATTCATCAAAAGGTTGTAACTTTCAGAGGAGAGTTCATAACCCATTGTCACAAATATATTACAAAGTACAAACCCAATCACCGCATAAGAAAGACTCCAAATAAATATAATAAAAAAAATTAATAACTGAAGAAAATCGAGCTTATAATTTCCTAATCTCGCAGACTGAATTCATAACTGAGAATTTACATTACAATTCTCTTTCAATATTACTCTCTCAATTTATAATTTGTCTTTCAATATTTGTTTATCAATTACTTCCAATCTTAGGTGTACATAGATTACATAATGACCCAATTCCAACAAAGTACATTGTCATAGGTATTTCATCAAACACTTAAAAGGGCACAACACAATTACCTAACAAGTTCATATACAAAGATCCCACAAAAAAAATTAATTCTCTTCTATGCATTTTAACAAACCCTGAGCATGCAAGGATTCAAACATAAATCAATTTGTACCATTTCTTCAAATTGCAAACATGTAAATGTTCAATCACACAAATCACGATTGTTTTGAATGAAAGTCAATTGAGATAGAGATTAATAAAAATTCACAGGGTGCAAGTGTAGTCTGTGGGGGTACAAGTGTAGTATATGTGGGGTGTAGAGATTAATAAAAATCATATAGTAACATTTACAACATCATAGGGGGAAAAAATACATACAACACACATACAATATCATTGTTTGAAAAAAAAAAATGCATACATATATACAGAAGAAAAAATAAGAGAGAGATTAAGGTTTGTTATAAGAGATACAAACGATGTCGTTTTCCCTAGAAGGGTAAATCGATCATTTTCCCTCAAGATTCCATGAGTTGGTGATATAAATTTCACTCTCCATTGCTAATATAATTTGTAGAAATTCCCCACTAATTTTTAAGTTTTGTTTACTGCCCCCACTGGGCAGTAATTCTCCCTTATTTGTTTGAACAATGACATTGATTGATTCTTCCAAAAAGCGAGTTTTAAAAAATATGCATGTTAGACATCATCGAAAAATGACTTAAAAAAATTATTTTTAATGGTGTTGCAAGAGGTTAATCAATAACTAATATGAAATTTTAAGTCTTCCAAATGGAGAAAATATCAATTGTGTAGTCCAGATTAGGGGTGTTGTTTGTATCATTTTTGTATGCTCATTTGTTGTTTAATGAAAGAGTAATGTTAGAAACTCTAAAAAAATTATCAAATTTTTCACTAAATGTCTCACATGGATGGTGTGGGACTCACATCCATGTGAGGCATTTAGTAGAAAATTTGGTAAAACTTTTGAGGTCTCTAACATTTTTCTTAATGAAGTGTCTGAACGAAAAATCATCAACACTTGCACCCCTTACAGAGTACACTTGAACCCCTCACGGATTACACTTGCGCCTCATGAAATTTGTACCAATATCCATACCCGTTGCATTTCCATCCAATTTTTTCATTTCCCTTTTGTTAGATTTCAAAATTTTTTGTACTGAGATCTCATCCAAAATTTTGGAAATTGGATACTTTGTCAGTACTGAATTTGGCTATGAATAAGTGATATTTTCCATATAGTGTTGAGTTTTTATAATGACAATACTATTGCGCCAAGGGTTTCTTGGGATAGACAATACTAGTAAACATGATTGGAAAAATTTGTTACATATGTATTTCAATTTTTGTATCAGTTTGTTTACTAAATCTTACAAAATTGTGTTCCTATTTTGTTATTTTTTATTCAGTAATTTATGAAATTATATCTTCAGAATTTTTGCATTAGCTTGAGTTTGGAGCTTATCTTTCAACTTTATTATTATTATTATTATTTTGTTGAGAAATTCTATAATAATGTATATTTTTGGGCTATGTTTTGTGGTTTTCATACCACTACAACCACTTTCAAGGATAACTATACCACCACCACGATGGAATATAACTAAATTGTCAATGGAGATATGGCCAAAGTCGTAACCAAAATAACAACTGGTCATAACGGAAAAAAAAAAAAGCCACAACCACAATGAATCAAATTACACACCACTTAACTCATAACCGAGGACACATAGGACATGTTTGATTGGGTGGATTAGAGCATGGGATTGAGATTATTAATTCGTGGGCCCAATTATCTTATGTTTGTTTTAACATTTTGGTTTAGGATTATTAATCCAATGGATAATTAATCCAACAAATTTATAAGATTATTAGTAATGGAGTAGGGGTGAGATTATTAATCTAATGGATATTAATTCAATAGGATAGTGAATACCACACTAATTTCATAGGATTATTAATACTTCACTATTAGTCTTGTGAATCAAACATGACCATAAAGTCATAATTGACACATGGTACATCAAAAGAAAGGGGTGTATTACTGCATGTTAGTGTTTATGGTGTTTGCATACCTATTACTTGCCAAGTCAATGCACACGCAACTCCCATCAAATAGCCTTGCCTATTCAAGTTCTATCCAATTAGTTAGACTTTCTAATTATAATTTGAGAATATGAGTTATATTTTGAGTTTGTGTGTTTTGAAATTATGATTTGAGTGTAGAAAATTTGTTTGGTTATGATTTTTTAATAGAGTGTTGAATTGAGTTTTGAAAGTTTGATTTGACATGTGATGTAAGAAAATTTGTTTGGTTACGAGTTTTAGAAAGGGTTTTCAAAACTTAATTCAAATTGTTATAATGCATAACAAAACACACTATTTTCACACTATTAAAAATTCTGATCAACACTCATAACCAAACTCTTTTTAAAATTCAATTAAAAAAATTTAAACAAAAAAATTAAAATATTTAAAAATATTTTTATAAAATAGAGTTTGAATTTATTTTTATAAAATATTTTAAAATTTAAAAAATTAAAATCATAATATTTTGAAATTAAAATATTTAAAAATATTCAAAAAATTAAAATTTTTAAAAATCGTAATATTTTGAAATTAAAATATTTAAAAATATTCAAAAAATTTAAAATTTAAAAAATCGTAACATATTTAAATATTAAAATATTTAAAAAATTAAAATATTAATTTGAATTGAGTTTTGAAAAGAGTTTTGAGTTATGTGTTTAGTTATGAGTTTTGAAAAGTAATGATTATGTTTTGAACTGAGTTTTGAGAAATGAGTGTAGAATTATGATTTGAAAGCTCAAAACAAACACCACACTCAAATCAATGAGTGGAACTATAATTTGAGAGGCTTACCAAACGGAGCCTTAATGTTTTCATTTATTGTTAGTATATTATTATACTTTAGCATTGTTTATTATTCTTTAAGCATTGTATACGTTAGTTGTTATTATTATGTTTGTTAGCTTTATGCTTTCGGCTAACTTTAGCCTTTCGGTGCCTCGCGTCTCGCTTAAAATATTTTATAAAATAGAGTTTGAATTTATTTTTGTATAATATTTTAAAATTTTAAAAATTAAAATCGTAATATTTAAAAATTAAAATATTTAAAAATATTCAAAAAATTAAAAAAATCATAACATATTTAAATATTAAAATATTTGAAAAATTAAAATATTAATTTGAATTGAGTTTGAAAAGAGTTTTGAGTTATGTGTTTAGTTATGAGTTTTGAAAAGTAATGATTATATTTTGAATTGAGTTTTGAGAAATGAGTGTAGAATTATGATTTGAAAGCTCAAAACAAACACCACACTCAAATTAATAAGTGGAACCATAATTTGAGAGGCTTACCAAATGGAGCCTTAATGTTTTCATTTTTTGTCATGTGTTTCTTCCTTTGTCTTAACTGTTATGATCTATATATACTCAAGAAGTAGACATTGCCAAATTATTTGGTGTTCTAACACTTGCACCCCTATCCAACAGACTATACTTACACTACACACAGACTGCACTTGCACCCCGTACAGATTCCACTTGCACCCCATGAATTTTGTACCAATCTCTATCCCATTCACTTTCATTCAAATCAACCAATGGTATATGTGTGCCTTCTCATGTCTTCAATTTTTTCACATCCCCTACTATGTCGATTTTTTTAATGTGGTTGTTTCACACATCTATGTTGGTACTCATGGTGTTTGCTTACCAAAATGAACCAAATTCACGGACATGCACTCTACACAAATTACATTTGCACTTACCTATTCATTTTCTATCCAATTGACAGCCTACGTTTGGGAAGAAGGTTTTGTGGCTTTTTTAGCTAAAATAGCCACAAAAAACAAAATAAGCTTTTTAGCCTAATAAGAAAAAACATCACATCAAATCCATAATCATTACATTTTTTCTCTCACAAAAAAATCAAAAAAGTCAAAAAAAGTCAAAAGTCCTTCCCAAACCAAGCTTTTTAGCCCCAGGCTAAAATAGCCAAAAAGACAAAAAGCCAACCCACTTTCCAAACGAAGCCCAAATGTATGTTTTTAGTTCACTGTTGAGCCTTGACCACTGCCAATCACCTTCGATGGTTAGCAACAACCTCTAATGACCGCCTCTACGCAACCAACAAGCACCTCCTCCCGCTGGCCACCTCTTTTACTAGTTTCAGAATATATATATATATATATATATATTTTAAATGTGTACCAAATATATTTTGTTTCCATTATTATCTAAATATAAATATATTTAATATTTTTTTTATAAATAGACGACAAAAAATTGTTAACTTTACCAAACTATAACTTAATGTGGGGACATAATTTTGAGTTGTCCATGTGGCCTAGGTGGTTAGCCAAGTGCCACGTGGATAGTTTTGGTTTCCTGAGGTGTGAATGGACAGCGCCTAAATCCAAAATATTTGGATAAAGGACAAGAGCCCTACATAATGGCGAACTCTGTGTTTGGATAAATAATGACTCTTGAGAGAGTTTCGTATTCTGAATTAGAGAAGTCCTAGATAAGTGTTATCCTTGAAATGGATAGAATTCTATGAAAAGTAAGGCTTCTAGAGGAAAGTGGACACTAATCATTATATAAAAAAGGCACAACTGTGGGTCTAAGGTGCACTTTTACTGGAGGGTGATTTGTTTAGCTGATATTTTTGGGAGATAAATTATTGACTTAATCATCAGAGTGCTCCTAGACGAACGAGCCACTGGTCTTGTTGTCTTTCTATGTGTAGGTGTTAGACTTCTCTATTCTTGCACGTGCTATACGACTTAGTTCCCAGAATCTCAGGTTAGAGATCTGATCTGGTTGTGAGGTCATATTTCAACACTCACAATGTTGCGCCGTCTGTGAGAATTTAGTCAAAATAGATGACTAACATTGTGTGAGATCAGCGGCTTGGAAACGACTTGTATAGTGAGAATGGAAAACGGGTCAACCTTAATGTGATTGACGAGCAGATTGGTGAAGAGAATCAGGCAGAGGAAAACATAGCAACCTTGGAGAACAGTCAGAGAAGAGGCAACTGAAGGGCACAGGAGCGCCTCCGAGAAGAGTACTACAATGAGAACAATCTCCAAATTTGGAAAGATAGTGTCTACGACGAGACGTTGATATGAAGGACCCATCCAGCAAGGTTGTTGATTTGTAAGCCATGATGAGGATCATGGTACAGAATCAGGTTGTACAGCCGACTTCAGCCCCTATGGTCATCAACTCTTGTATTCCAACAAGTCTTATTATTTTGATCCACCAAATCCTAACTATTATATTTAAGGAATTTTATGAATAATTTTATCCTTACAAATATCTTTTGAACCCTTAGCAACTAAGTGTGCAGTATTTTGGAATATTTTTTACTTTTTATATATATTAAACTTTAAAAATTCATAATTTTTGTTGTACATTTTTTTTTTAATGAAATATATATTTTTGAAATCTAATTAATGAGATCTATCAAATAAGATCTCACTTGAATATGTAATTTTATAAAATAAAAATAAACAAGGTTTTAAAAAGCGGCCGCAACCGTTACGTAACGCCGTTATGTAACGGTTTTGGCGGTTACCGCCACCCGTTACAGCCGCTTTTGCAGTGTGATTGAGATTCACAGGTGTGTCGGCCGTAGCGACTGCCGTAGCGGTCGTAATGGTGCCGTAACAGCCGTAACGGCCTGTTACGCACCGTTACGTAATGGTTCCAAACTGTTTCTTTTGAAAAAACACACAAAAAAAAGCTGAAAATGGAGAAAGAGGGATAGAGAGAAGAGGGAAGATAAAAGAGAGAAAATAGACGAGCAAGAGATAGAGAGAGAGAGAAGAGGGAAGATGAAGAACATGTTATTGATTTGTTGAAACTATAAGACCTATGCTATTCTATTCAGCTGCTATCACTAAACCATTTTATTTGTGTGTGTCTATCTATATATTGTTTGAAAATAATAATAATAATAATAATAAGTGTGGTCATTATCTATTTGGTTTGGTTAAAATATGTATATATATATATATATATTTAGACTCTTATTTATTCTCTTACTTTTGTCATTATTTATCTTATATATAATAGTTAGTGATTAATTTTTTGTAAAATATAAAGTCATAATTATTAAAATAAAATGTAAAAAACTCAGTTTACAGTGATTTAAAAATATGAAATATATTGGATCATACTTAAAAATTTACAAAAATTGATCCATATTTATTTTTAACCCAATAAATATGATCATGGAAAAAAAATATGCGTATCGGTAAGTTTTTTTCAAATTGTGTGAAAAATAAAAAAATTCACGGTTCCGATTACCGCAACCGTTACACTACGGCCTATACACCCTGCAACCGCAGCCGCGTCACTGCCACCGTTACGGCGACCGCAACCACTTTGTAGAACCTTGAAAATAAATAAATAAATTTGATATTGTGAATGTTTACATTAAATAAATTTGACAATGTGAATATTCACATCATAGAACATTCACACTATCAATGTGAACATTAATGCGCACTTCATCTTATTATAATTAGGTGTATTTTGATAATTATGTCACCCATAGAACTTATTGGAACATAAGAAAATAATTTGACAGTGGAATGTAAGTAGATGAAGAGGAATTTATGAATAAATATCCCCTTATATATTACTCTTCTCGCGTGCTTAGTTGTGATTTTACTAATTAAGGTTATATAATTTATCTTATCTATCATTTCTTTTTCAGTTTAACATAATTAATTGAAAGGAAAGATTTGATTAACTTTGAAAATTTTCTTTTTCAAGAAGCAAATGTAACCGATATAATCAACAAAATTGATCTCTTCATTTAATTAAAACCAAATAAAAATGTTTTTATTAATATCTCCAAGTGACTCTTTAAATGAGATATGTTAGCTATTATAGCAAGTATCATCATGTTTTAGTCACTTAAACCGGCCAGTTTTGCAATAACTATTTTAGCAAAAAATTTCAAGATTAGCTACATTTGAAGAACCTTAGAAGCTCTTTAAATAGTTTGTGTATGTATAGGTAAAATAAAGAATAGCGATGTCGTTCATAAATAAAAATAATAATAATAAATAGATAAAATAAAGAATATATCTATTTTATATTACGGCTAGTGAAAAATAAAGGATATATGATTGGAGTTGCTGGCCTTCCCTGCCTTTCCTCTAGGCCGACTTGCAACTATGAGCTTGTTTGGCATGTTGAATATTAGTACACTTTTTTATCTTTTTATTTATTTTTAATCAGATCACCTCTCTATTTTTTTACACATCTTTTAATAAAAAAAGTCAAAAACTATACTAACCTAGCACATCTCAAATAACCCTTATGTATTGGTTGGTTTGGATTAAAGTAGATTCATATTTCTTAGACTAGATACGCGATGTATGTGTAATTAAAATAAGTAAAATTAAAATTGAAATTTTATTACATTTGGTATGCTAGGTAAGGGGTAAGGGTTTTGTTTATTAAACCTACTAAGGTTTAAGGTCCGACACTTACTCTTGTCAAATAGGAAAATGAGGACACGTGACATAAGAAGAAGCTATCAAAATTTGAATACCAAGTAAGTAGTTCACTTTGAATAATAGTATAGATATATAAGTAGATTGGGGATTTGGGTTATATTTGTAAAATAGGTTGATTTTAATGCTCTCATTTTAGGTAGTGCAAGAAATTCATGTTTTTATTCTCTCTAGTTGCTACTACCATAGCCTTGGGCTACATTTGGGTAGGACTTGAGAAATTTGAGGAGGTACAGGTGCCTCTTATGGGCACCCAATCGCTCCATCATTACAATTTGCAAGTTGACAATTTTGAAAAGTGATACTAGATTGTCTGGACCATTCAATTTGGCCCACTATAGGTCCATCTTGAAATTTAAGTTCGACCATCCTAATCGTCCATTTTGTAGAGTTACCGTGACAAAAATTTAATTGATCAGACATTATAAGTCACTTGATCGGATCACATTTGTCTCAAAAAATTGATAGACTACTTGTAAAATCATGTTATCCATTCATTACTAATTTACTACTCCAACAAGAAGCAAGACAAGAAAGAAATTCATTGAAGTAGAAGTAAAAAACCACTTCATTATTACACTCCACAAGACACATGTAGCTAGATTATGAAGCAGAGGAAGAACATAAATATAGCATCTCTTCAAAGGAACTACAGATTTCTTCTTTTTCAGCAACTTAAGCACTCACATAAACCAACTATGCCAATACTTATTCAGCAGCAGCAGCAGCAGCAGCTGTCTGGGCTTCCGGTTTCTCCTTCAACAATTCTGACATTCTTGCTGCCAAGCTCTTCTTTGCTGCTGGGGAAACACCGTGCTTGCCGATGATTGACTCCAACACTGCTTCTGACAATTGTTTGTTCTCTATCACCACAGTCCCGGTCTCAGGTAAGGAACCATCTTTTGAGAAAGCAATCTGAGTTTTCAGATAGGAAGCAACAAAGAAAATTAAAATCTAGATACAGATTGATTTTACTTTTCCACTCAAAAGTAAGGACTATTAAGTCGTTGACAAATATATATATCTCAGGCTGTGTCATTAGGCCTATATTTCACTGAAAATGATTTATTTTTGGTAATTTCGGTATTCTAGTTTCACCACCAAACAGCTAGGACAACAAGAGCTCAACAACCTTTATTACAATGAGGCCTTCTTTTAATCAATAAGCTTTACACTTTTTAAACAGTTCAGGACATTTTTTCCTTCTATAAACCAAAAATATTATGTACCCAGAAAAAATATCAAAAAATTGTCCAGAATTTTAAATGTGGAGATTATATTTCTATTACGGTCAAAAACAAAGAAAGATGGATTGCTCTATTTCTTTATTGATACTGATTCTCAGGAAAAAGCTGAAATGTAATTACTATATGCAGCATCATAAATCATTAGTGTCCTTTCCCTCAAAAGCTTAAATAGAAATTTTCAATATGATAACCTTTTCAAATCAATCTGTCATATTATTCTGGAATTTTTTAGATTAACATAATAAAATAAGGGCAAATTACACCGGTGATCCTCACATTTTGTTCCTTGGGTCATTTTGGTCCCTCCACTTTTAATAGGCTCAATTTTGACCTTTAATTTTAAATTTTGTATCAATTTGGTCTAATTGATAATGCTGCTAGTGTTTTTGACAAAAAATAATTACTGAATTAGTTGAGGTTAACTCACTGAGTTTAGTAAATTTATAATTTTATTCTAAAATATTTGACACCTGCCACTTATATACATATTTTTTATTAAAAAAAATGCTAAGAGTTGTAATCAATTAGGCCAAATTAAAATAAAATCATAAATTTAAAGTCAAAATCGAGTCAATTGAAATTACGGGGACCAAAATGACACAAGGACCAAAGTATAGGGACTAATAGCGCAATTTGCTCATAAAAGAATTACAATATGAAATAGAAGACCAAAAAAAAAAAAAAAAATTGGAATTACTAACCGTCAATGATCCAAGGGGTGATTGGGTAAAAAGAATAGAACCGCCAGGGGGGAAAGTTTCATCCTTGAAGACCTCAATAAACTTTTCAATGGCTTTGGCCTCTGCATCAGTATAGGTTCCAACTGCTTTCCAATAGGCAACACAATTTTCTGTAACCTTCTCAGAGTATTGTTGACCCGTTAATGGCAAAATCATAGTCACCTGTGTGAACTTCTCAAAGGGACCTACAAATTGGTAATGACAATTAAGCTCAGGAGTTGGAAGTTGAGATTGAAAACATGTATTTCATACTATTCTCATGTCATGCACTCATTAAAGAACACTTACGTCTAAACTTTTGTTTCAGTTTAGTTGCGTTTCATCAAAAAATTATCGTACAGTTATTAGTCAACATCCATCTAGGTTAAGGACTTTCAATACGTAATGTAGTCATTTACACTTATAGTTTGGAAACATTAATGGATTCATGTGAAAGTAATCCCATTGAAGATTGATTTAGAAGAAAAAAATTTATACATATTGGTTGTACTCTTTGAACTATGAATGCAAAAGACTTCTTCCTCAAATTGAAGGCATTTAATTGATAGAAAGGAAGTACAAGTCATTTACATCAGATCTTTTGGATGAGACAAGAAGGTAAAGGGAAAACAAATAATAAGGGGAGACCATGGTATCAGAAAAATTTTCCAGCCTTTCCTTCAGCCAATCTAAGATTGCAGGTTGATAACAGTCTAGAATATATGGTAAAATTCCCAATACATTCAGCATAAAATACCCCAATCACCATTGGAAAAAGGCAAAAATGTAGCTTCATTTGGTAGTAATTTACACTAACAACAATGCTAGGATGACCATCCCTTTCTACCATATTTGGTTTACCATCTTATGTGACACACTCACATTTGTATTGGATATTAATGACATGTGAATGTGCCACATAAGATGGTAAACCAAATATGGCAGAAAGAGATGGTTAGCCTAGCGGCGTTGTTACATTAATGTTAGTTTGCAATCATGACACATTCTGATGCATGCTGCGGCATCTTGCTTTTCAGGTTTAATGTCTATCATAATGATATCTCTCGTCTTGTGATGTTTTCCATTGTATATGTCGTGCACTCATGAACTACATATTGTGATTGCCTTTTAAGGTGCCCTCTAACTGGCAAAGAAGTTGACAGTACTACTTGCAAAACCAAAAATGTAGGCATCATGTTGTAAGGATACACGCTCACACACATCATTGCCTTCCAATTCTAAAGGCTCACACAATCAAGATTTCTACCCATTCAAGGGTTAGTGATTCCTGAATTTTATAATTATCAAGTGCATGTATATGGTATAAGCGGAATTAATATATTATCAGTGACACAATGCAAGCATTACATAAGGGTTAGTCCTTTAAGGGGGGGAAATGGAAAAATCCAATTCACCCCCTTGGGGTTGGCCAAGGAGCACTTGATGATGACCCACTGTCAAAGATAGGCAAAGAGGCCCCATTTTGTTTCGAACTATAATGAAACACTCCTTGTTAACGGCAAGTAAAATGACTTCAATACCCTATGCTATGTTCTCTTTTGCTATCTTCTTTTGTGTCAACTCACCAGCACCAGATTCAACCACCATTGCCACAATCCACCAGCACCAGATTCGACCACCACTGCCATATACATATACATATACATATACATATACATACGGTAAACTAACTTTGCACATAATATATACATATACATAACCAACCAACGGAAGCAATCAGCAAAAGCAACTAATTTAAACCAGTTGTACAGCCAACGGAAGCAACCAGCTGGAGCAATTAATCCGCACCAGTCGTACTTCTTTTTGTTTTGGCTTCATTTTCATTTCTTTGTTAATGGGTTATAGAGAACCAAAGGGTCAAATAGGGGTTCTTCTTGAAGCTATTGTGAGGTTCTTTGTTCATGAGTCACATAAGAGCAAAGTTGTCATGTATGTAATTCATTTGGGGGTAGTGGGGGTGGGGGTGTCGTGGGTGGTGGCTAGATGTTTGTACTGTGTCCTATTGTTTATCATCTTGTAATAAGTTGAGAGAGAGTGTGATAACACATGTTGCACATGTGAGTAAATATTGTGGTGTGAGTAATGTTGTCTTGTCGTCTAGTGTCGGGTGGCAGACATGCCTATGTGATCTCAGTAGTAGTTACTGTAGTAGTCTGTCCTATAGGGATCCTTCTTGCTTATATAAGGAGCTTGGGTGTATATTGTCTCTTTTTGATTGTATCTCCATGAAGACTGCAAGGTGGACTTACAGGTGGTTGAGGTTTTGGTTTACAGGGTGAAGAGAAGAGAAGAGAGTATGGGATTACCCTAAGCTTGGGAATGCTTTTAGCAGAAGTATCATAATAATAAAATTTGCTAGAAGGGTAGCCAAGAAGATCAACAATAGGATCACCAGCTTCATAATGGGTTTTCAACTGTTGATGTTTAGAGGTTCGTTACTGGATCTTTTTTGGAGAAGCATCATCATCACAAATAAAAAGATGGAGCAGCCAAACAGTTGTTACAAGAACAAGCGTCAAAAAAGTTATGGCCATTTAGACTGGGCACATAGTTTGGAGAGTCTTGAGATAAGAAGGAATGAACAGATACTGCATGAAGCATGTTGATTGCCGGTGAAAATATCAGAGGTGCGGTAGTTGGAGCATCTCCTTTGGGAAAGGTGATTTCAACTGAACCATCTGAGTGAGTGGTATATTGAGGATCAGAAGATTGAATTAGGTTTGTGGGCTGGTGAGTTTGCTCATAAGTCATCCAGGAGTTGGGAAGTAATTGAATGAGTTCTGCTTGGGTCAGCTGGCAAGAGATGTGGACTACAGAGGTTTGTTGAGGAGAATCAATGGTAATGAAGAATGGCGGCATATGCAGTTGATACTGCTGGAGCATCACCAATTTGAACTTGAACTTTGAGGGCCGAGAGAAGGTGTGGATCTACCAAAGGCATGTTGAAATTGGAATGGAAAGTCAACAAGATTGTGCCTGAGTTGAGAGTGGTTTGTGCCGTAGTGGTATCCATGAGAGCAACTCGTGAAACTATGGGAAGTCCTTTCTTGCCATGAAAAGTAAAAGCAAGGAAAACAGCCCCAAAATAGAGATAAGTGTGGTTTTGTTGTTTCTAATGTCGAGGCAGATCATCAGGGATTTGCAAGGTAATTAACTGTTCAGCTTCAATGGCTGGAATTAAACACTTATCAAGTCGGGAAGCTTGAACATATTCTTTAACCGCAAAGGGTCAAGGAGTGGAAAAAAGTTGGCAAACAGTTTCAGTAACCGAAGAGGATGAAGATAGAGGGTTTAATAGAAGAAGGCTAGTTACTGGAATTTTGTTGGCTTCACTCAGGTATTTGAACTCATACAGGTGAAGAAGAAGCAGAAAAAGAACAGAGATTTTCGACTGGGAAGTAAACTCATTTAACTATAAGAAAGCATGATCTTAGCCTTTTCTTTTGTTGGAAATTTAACACAAATAAAACACGTGAAAGTGAGTTTGTTTGCAGCCAAAAATAGAGCAGAAAATTATTTAGTGAAAATAGAGCAACAAACACAATGAAAATGAGATGAAATTAAACTGAAAAATTAGCCTGGAAATTGTAACACAAAACAATACAATACCAAAATTAGTCGAGACTTGTGTTAGACACAATTTCCTTTAGGTTTAATTCGCCCCCACCGTGGTGCTCAGGCTATCGGCATCAACCTCCCAGGTTACAACTACTAGAATCCAAGATAGCAGCACAACGATCCTAGATATGGCAAACCAAACTTGTGTTGTACTCCCTCTAAGACATAAAGACTCTCTAATGCAAAAATCTAAATGAAGAACTCCAAGAACAAAGAGCAATATTAGACTCCAATATTAAAGAAATTGAACTCTCTAACTCGATCATTTCCTAAAGGTCAAGGGGTATTTATAGGCTTGAGCTGGTGGTGTGAGCAACATGCGAACAACCTCAAACCACTGTCCCAATTTCGGCCGTGCCATTCCAATTTCGCTAGTCTCGAAATCGTTGAACCAACGTAGTGAAAAACGTGTTGTTCTATACCAAATTCGGCAATGAATTGAGGCTACACCAAATCACACATCTATCTGGAATTCTTAAGAAGAAGAGAGACCAAATCACACTTAAATTGAATTCCATTGAAGGCTTCAAAGTTTCTGAAAGAAACCAAAGACGAATTCAATTTTGAATTCGTTCAAATACCATTTTGCTGAAGCCTCCTTCGGAGTCAATTTCGCATTCACTGGGAAAATGGTTTTGGTAAACCAAATATACAAAGTGAATCACCACCAGGCATAGATCACATTTCCACTTGGACACACCTCAATCGGTATCCATACCCCATCTCAAATTAGGCTCAAAATTGGCCAAAAATCATGGTTCAAAAACCATTTTTCCAACAATCCCCCACATGAATGGAAATAACGACGAAGGACATGCAACAACATGCAGACTAAGAGAGAGTACATAAAGGTGATACACCTCATCAAGAAAAAGAATGAAAATAATTATTTGGCTTTTCCATGAATAAGGTAGAGGCCATGTATATATAATAGATTCATGATACAATTTAGGAGAACGATATAAATAAGGAAATGATATAAATAAGGAAACAATACTAAATCAGTGATTGACACAATCACAGATACATAATATTAAAAATAAAAAAATTCTATGTACTCCAATTTCTATATTCAACACTCCCTCTCAAACTGGTGTGAAAATATTCAACAATCACAGCTTGCCGATGGATAACTGGAAGATGCCAGAAAAAACTCAACGGCTAGTCCAAATAAATGTTACCGAACAAATCTGGTAATCCACTAAATAAAAAAGGCCCAAAAATGCTTAATACATCAGCACCATACCCTAAAAAGGGGAGAAAAAAAACAGGGATTGAACTGCCCTAGAAGAAACTGACTGGAATCAATGTCGAGACAATTTAAGGAGGTCATGCCGGACTGTTATAGGAACTGACCGGAATCAGTGTCGGGACAGTTTGCGGGGTTATGCCGGACTGCTATCAGAACTAACCGAAATCAATGTCGGAACAGTTTAAGGGATCATGTCGGACCGTTGTAGAGACTAACTAGATGTTGAACCAACAAGTGTGGCACACACATAACTTATGACGTGGTGCTAAACGATGATGGCAACAGATGATTGAGTGCGCCAAGGGACAGCTTATT